TTTATATATGTATATGTTGTGAGAACAGGATTTAATGTAATTGGAACTTAAGATTTTCAAGTTAGGGTTTAGGTTTATGTAACGAAATTCCAAATATACCTAAAGTCCATTCCCACTCACAACATATATATCACATACTTTTGTGAGTACATAGTTTTTAAAATAGAATGTTTGAATATTAGAAAAGTACTAATTACTGAAATATAACGACTGTTGTAATTAATGAAATATTTTAAAGATTTAATTTTATAAACTTTATAACCAAGTTGTTAAAAAAAAAAAAAAAAACTTACAAAATATAAACAATAAATACGAAAGCGAAAGAAAAATTATTATCAGCAATTGTGACTATTTTATTACAAATCCACAAAGATAAATAAAACGAATTTAACAAAAGTAAACACCAATTGTGCGTCAAATTTTCCCATATTTAGATGGGACTTGTTGCCGTAATTTTAAGCATATCGGTCAAAATTAACGTCAATAATCCGACCGCCGTAAGTGTATCCACTAAATTTTTCTTTATTGCAAGTATTAAGTATTGATTAATAATTCATCTAAAAAACCATTGGTACTTGACAGTGAATAAAAAAAAAAACCAGATTCTTACCAACAGCAAACCGGGCAGATTCGTTTGAATCGAACTGCACTACACCGGCACCCTTTGGTCTTCCATTTTGCTCCAGAATCTCGGCCCTTAAAACGTTACCTATTTACGATCGAGGTAATAACATTAGGCAAAATAACAAGCAACTATTACAATATAAATAGTAACTAACCACAATGTTTAAAGAGATCTCTCAAATCCAAATTAGTTGTTGTGAACGGAAGCTAATGTAACCCAACAAAAAGAAAATACCAATTAATTCTAGCATGTCTATCTCTCCTAAATTTTATTTCCATATCACCTATCGTTTTTGTTTAGCAATACCAATACATAAGAAGAAACAAAGATATTGTTTTCTTCTGCAGTTTCAAATACAACTATGAAAATCTAATGCCAAATATTATCTGCATAGAGTTCTTACATTTCTGACAAAGATTTGAGTTCCAGTCCCACCCGATGCTCCTGGTGTAGGATAATAACCCGCCGACCCGTCATATCCAACTGCTGCACCACCGTATGGGGGAATGTAACCTCCACCAAATCCACCGCCGCTATAATCCATCATGTTTGCGCCCGCAGCGCTGAAATCATTATAACCGCCACCGTATCCATCATACTGGTCTGGACCAGGTCCCATAGATTGGTAAGTCGAACCAAAGCTTGCTGGTGCAGCTGCTTGTGGCCCATAAAACCCTCCTGCAGAATTATGACCATAATGACTCGGACCCGCATAAGGACGTGTTGGACGTGTTGAAAATCTTGGCGGTGGTGGTCCTCCAGCAAATCGATCCTATGAAAAGTAAGGGGAATGCATTCGAAAAAGAAAACCCACCAGCTCAATACTTGCCTCATGTTAATTCCTGCCCACACCAAACAGTAACGCGGTAGAAACAACGTGCCTATGCTTAAGTCACGTTATAACCACCGACTACACCTTTTTTTCCACCAAAAGATTTCCAAACAAAAAAAAAGCAACCAAACTACACCCCACCTCACGGACTTCAATCCTTCTACCATTCAATTCGTACCCATCGTACATAGCTAAAATAAAAATAACCATTTAGCTTAATGACCC